GTGGACCAACTTGCATAGGTACCAAACTTTCTCGTGGCTACAAAGAGCTGGCCGATATTGAAGACAAGTCTTCTGAAATTTCACATTTGGTGTTCGTTGTGCATGGAATTGGACAGACCTTTGGGAGTATTAAAAACGACAGCTGGAGGTAATAATGGCTATTTACGGGATTTAAAAGGACTTCCTGTTTAAGCAAACAATTGTTCGTACTCAGGTAGCCGCATTTTTTGATGATGGGGCCAGAAAGGGCCACATCGAGAATTGGCCCCGCCATAGCCCCCTCACGATGCGGGGCTGTGAGGGGGCCAGAGGAAGCTGGTGCTGGCAGGGAAACAATAAAAATCATAGTCTCCTAAATGACTAAAAAATATTATCGTTATTGGGCTGAAAAGATGATGAACCTGTTTGGCTACCGCAGGCATGTGCATATTTTTTAAAACATTTAAAAGCATGTTGATCGGTAAATAAATTTAACCTGCTACTAATCGTTAATAAGTCAAACGTATGGGCATGGATTGTACATTAAGGTATTCCAGCCAATGATATACTTTGTTTACTGGTCGACCATTAAAAAATAAAGTGTCGATTTTTCCTATATTAGAGTTTTGTGGATGCATGCTCATATAAGATGAAGGTTATGCTTTTTATGTGACTTACCCACCTTGCCGACGATTCCCACAAAAATTTCAATTTTGTATTTAGGATTCGGAATTTAGCTGCAAATGTTTTTGAAAAGGACTTCGAGAACAGTTGCCAGAAGACCGAATTTTTGCCCGTGGAATGGAGAACAACCCTCGAGCTCGATGAATCCATTATACATAGTGTTACGCTTGCTCACTGTCATCCATTTCGTGTGCTTTTAAACAGTTCGGCTCTTGATATTCTCTACTACACCAGTCCATTTCACAGAAGGGAAATCATGAGAGCCTTCTCCCAGGAAGTTATACGTCTTTACAGCATGTTTTGTTCCCGAAATCCATATTTCGAAGCAAACGGAGGAAAAGTTTCTATTTTGGCCCATTCACTTGGAGCAGTTATTGCATTTGATGTTCTGACTGGCTGTCCACCCTCTTCTTCATCAACAGCATATTGGCGGTCAATAAATGTAAACCTCATGAAATAACCCTCGACTTACCATGCACTTAATCTAAAAAGGTATCGCGTTTACCGACAACTGATGGGTCCTAAATGCACTTCTCATGTTTTAAATTGATTGAGCGGACATAGTCGTCTTTAGTAAGAGAACATCTACAGAACAACTTTTGTTTATAGAGAACTTATAAAAGTACGTGTTATCCAAAACCCCCTTTGTAAGAAATTTTCAATTTTGAGTTCAAGTTTAGAACTGAATATTAGGAGAATCGGCTGTAATATTTACCTTGCAAAGATGTTTATGCCTAGTCACTTACATAAAATTTAAACATGGAAGGTTTGCTCCAATTTAAATAACCTAATAGCTTAATTTAGGCATTAAAATTTCTTAAAGAGGTATAGCGACATATGCTCAATTAAGAAAGTTGTACTTCATTTGGACTTTTAATCGTTATTAGGCATGCCCGTTGAACTTCCCACATACATTGAACGTTAGTTAGCTTCGAAAGTGAAAACGTATGTGCAGTAATGAACACCTGCGAATGGTATTATCCCCAATTCTACCATCCTATCGTCATAAGATTGACCGTATTCCAAAAACCTTTTATCAAAATTGTTTTTTATTTAAGGGCACCTTGGACGCAGACAGCCAGTCCTTAGGCAAATCTATGACACCTCTTCAACAGAATCTTCTGTTAGTTACTAATAAGCAGTTCCTGCTTTTTGCTTAACCAACCATAAGTTATATATGCATGCAAGACTTATAAAGATGGAATTTTAAATTTAATCGCGAATGTTTTATATAGCGTGCTGTTTCGAAGAGGAAAAAGCCCTATTACTTGAACAGAACTTTTTAGATTAGCGACTAAGTGCGTAATTCTGTCATATATCAGCCAAGTGTATGTAATGAGGCACAGGGTTTTATTGAAGGGTCAACTTACACGACGTCTCAAAATATAACTGAGAGTGTGTGATGAATATGTTTTATAGAAGGACTGTTTTTTTCTAAGTGTGATGTTTATTCATTGACTTAAGCGTGCCTAATACTCTAACCAAGTTATTTACGTTTACATGGCATCAGTTACACATTTTGCTGTGGCTATAAACGTCGTTTCGTGTTTATTTGGCTTTTGACCGCGCGTGAGAATTACAATGTTCTCTTATTCGTTTTGTCGCTTGACTTCGAAAGGACATTTCAGTATTCCCACGGGAAGCATGACCGACTAACATCGTATATTAGTCATTGATATTACATGCATTTCATGAAAAGTCTATTTTCCGAGAAAATTATCCCCAATTGGCGCAACAGCATGACATTTCAACATTAAGAACGGAAGTAAAATAACCATCCTTATTTTTAAATATTACGAAATTAGTAACTTTAGAAATTAATAAAAAGCCATGAAGTTGAACGCGTGTCTAGATTTTAGATTTTACTAATGAGCTGCAGATTTGTATGCGTCCTAACGTCATTCTAATTTTTAGACATGTTGAGTTGGAACGAAGTCTTATACACTCAAATACAAAAAGGAGCATTCAGCCATGTTCAAAATTCCGTGTAAGTATATCCCTCACGCTCCCCCAACAGGCGATCTAGGTGACGTTTATGTCAGCTTAACTTACAAACTGTTATGTCTGTGCTGTATGTTTTTGTCGATGATTTTACTGCTTCAAAAAGGTTTTCTTCAGATTTTTTGCAAGTTAATGCTAGAAGTCCCGTTAAAACCCCGTGCATCTCCTTCCTTATATCTTTTTCTGCTAAAATAAGCATAAACGTTTTCAATAGAAGCAAAGAGACGAGTCTCAGGAAGTAGTCTTGAAGAAGGAGGCACGATCGCCGGGACAAGAGCTTTATTAGCCTGACGTTTCGGATTCCTACTCGAATTCATCATCAGAGACAAAAAAGCAGAAACGGGTGGTTGTTGCACAAGGGGCTGCGGTATTTATAGGATGCAGTAGCCATGCTACCGCATACCTATGAACATTCACGGCTCCCCTTTCATCCGGGATCGTCTCACTTGGTGTGATCATTGCTTGATGGCTGACATTCGAGTCGATAATTGCTGCAATTTCCTCACGTGCGTTGGATGTTGGCGTGATGATTGCTCGACCATCTGACGCACCGACCCCGGTGTTGGGATAAGTGCTCACCTCTGCGCTCCCCGCATGGCTTGTTACTCGGCCTAGGCGGAGTTTTAGCACGGAGTATGGAGTCGGAAGATCGTTGCACTTGTTGATGGACTGGGGGCCAGTAAACCATGATTCCAGTAGCTCCCGGCTCACTCGGTTGTCACCCCTTGCGAGAATTTCGGCCTCGTCGAATTTGAATGTGTGGCCGGATCTCGTTGAATGAGCCGCAACTGGAGAGCTGGCGTCATTTCTGCGCACCGCTGCCGCGTGTTCGGCCATTCTCGTTCGGAGCTGTCTTCCGGTTTCTCCGACGTAGTTGCTTTGTTCGCAACTGCACCAGATCCGATAAACGACTCCAG